GTTTGTCAATAATATTTTACCGCAGTACGAGACACCAAGCCGTACATATTTTAGCGAAAATGTAATTCCAGATATATATAACAAAGTGGTGAATAATATCAAGTCAAGATTGGCATTGGTCAACCACATCTCTTTTACTACAGACATGTGGACATGTCAAACTAACAAAACTTGTTTCCTCAGTTGTACTGCTCATTGGTTAGAAGAAAGTTATATGCTTGGCCATGCAGTGCTAGATATGAAGGTTTTCGCAGAGAGCCATTCGGCAGAAAACATAAAAAAAAGCTTACTCGATTCTGTTTCCGATTGGAACATACCAGCTACAAAAGTACGTGCCGTTGTACATGACAATGCAGCAAATATAACAAAAGGTGTCTATAAATTCACACTATTCAATTAGTAATCAATGACGCTATAGACGCTAATACTCCTGTTAAAGAAACAATTTCTGCTGATCGACGAATTGTGAAACATTTCAATCACAGTGCTTATAACAAACTTCACGAGATTCAAGAGGAACTTGGCCTTCCAAAAAACAAACTACATCGAGATATTAGTACTAGATGGAATTCAACTTATTACTTACTGGAACGAATTATTGAACAGAGACGAGCTATTTCTGTCTACTTCGCAGAATCTCGAAACTTGACTTTTGAAAACTTGTCAAGCGATCAATGGGAAATAGTGCTACAATTAATCATAGTACTGAAACCTTTTGAAGAAGTGACGAAAATAACTAGTAACACGTATTCTCCTATTTCCGATGTAATTCCGCATGCGGTCACAGTGATGAGATATTTACGAAAAGAAGAACTAATCGAGAAAACGTATCAAGTTGATAATTTTAGATAATATGCCTTCGTAAACAGTATGAACAAAGTCACACGATTCAATCTGGAATGTTTGCTTGAAAACAGTATCTCCTTTCGACCTTTTTAGACCCACGCTACAAAATCAACTTTTATAATGCTTATCAAACAGATCAAGCTTGCAAAGCTGTCCTAGGAAAAGCTCTAAAAATATCGCTAGACACCGAAGATGATGAACTTGACAATGACGCAGAGCCAGCAGAAAAAAGAGACAGAATGATAGATAGAGACCATACTGTTTCTGAAGCTCATAATCTATTCTGGAAATGTTTTGAAGAAGCTGCTGACGCATCAACCAGTTACAAACCTAATGATCCTAAGAATTCCGCTGCAGCAGTTAGATCATTACTTAAGCGTACCAAGGGCCGAAAGAAATGCAAATCCATATAAATGGTGGGTTTCTAATAAAGGCCATTATCCCATCTTGGGATAAGTTGCGGCTCAATACTTATCAACACCCGCCAGTTCAGTTTACAGTGAACGGCTTTTTTCAGAGGCGGGCTTAATATATGAAGCAAAAAGGAGCAAACTAGACCCAAATAGGGCCGAAAAACTAGTATTTTTGCATCACAATCTTCCTCTCTTAAATTTTAAATATTAGTAATAATAATTTCTATTATAGATTCTTATGTACGTTCTAAATATTTCTGCTGCTTCCCATGTTCCTGATGTTTTAATGTGTCTAATATAGTAATTATGATAAAACTGGCTTTTTGTCTTTATTTTTCTCTGGAATATAATTAAGGCCGAGTACTCGGTACTCGGCCGTTAGTACTCGGTGCTCGGCCGAACGCTAAAAAAAGGCCGAACCCGCCGAGTACCGAATCCAAACCGAGTACTCGTCCCATGTCTAATACCATGTTTTTAAAATAAAAGTAATTCGAAATTAGAATTTTTAGCCAAAAAAAAATTATTTTGATTTAAAATGGTCAGTACTGCAGAACCGCAATTTCATAGGTAAAGACCTATTAGTATATTCTCGGAAAAAAAAATATGTGCATACATGAAATATTCACTTAAATTCTAAAACAAGTAGAGAAGGGAGGAAATCCTCACCATGAGAATATAACATTGAAAAAAAAAAATTAAAATACATCCATATTTTTCAACCGAACTTGGCTTCAAAATAGAGGAGGTTTTTTTTTTATGAATGTTCACCGATTACTTGAAAATGCCTGAACCGATTTGGAAAATTCTAATAAATTATATATATATATATATATATATATATATATATATATATATATATATATATATATATATAGATTTAATTGAAAGCAGCAGTTTTTAAAAAATCAACAATAAATTATATTTATATTGAAGTCGGTTGTACAAAATTTTTAATTTTACCACTTGTCATCAGTTCTGATACCATATTCTGACACCAGTTTTGACGTTAGAACCTTCATTAGTATTAAATTATAATGGCTTGGCTTATTTGTTATAAAAAGCAATCTTTTATAGGCAAGTTTTGCTAGAATGTAAAGATAAAAATAATATATTATTATAGACTATGCTAGCACTATATGCTTTAGAGGTAAAAGAAAGACTTTACATCTTATGTTAGAAAAGTATTATAAACAACAAGATTGAGAATATTTGAATACAGAACTAGATACCTTTATGTGTTTTCATGTGGGTCCTGAGATTGCCAACGGTACTATAAGTCCGTTCACATCCATCGTATTCACATTTATATCTTGCACTGTTATCCTCCGCTTTCCTTTTGGTTTTATCCATGTTGATTTTAAGTAACCCCTCATTTGAATTCTTCTTTTCTGATACTGGCTCATTATGCCTGCATAAAAATTTACTAATCATTAAATACTGGAAATTACAGAGTATTTTAACATTACAACTAAATTATAAATAGAATTACTTTTATACATATATAACACATAGAGCTGTAGTAGCTTAGATGGTTAGCACTCGCTGTAAGCTTCACGGTACTCAAGCAACCCGGGTTCGATCCCTGCAGGCACCAATGAAATTGTTAATTGCAATTTTAAGTGCTGATTTACCACGTGCTCGGCGGTGAAGGAAAACATTGTGAGGAAACCTGCATGTCTGAGAAATAAGAAAAAAAAACAAATATTTCGAAGACATATGAAGTCCGCCAACACGCATTGGGGCAGCGCGGCGGACATTTCCTTGCCCTAAAACCCTCTCAGAAATGAGAGGAGGCCTTTGCCCAGCAATGGGGCGTAAATAGGCTGCAACTTTACTATATATAACACAATATGGTTTTCAGGATTTTGTAACTATACAATAAGTGCAAAGGGTCAATAAAGGTTCATGTTATATCTCTAGGTAAGTTTAAGGCCATAGTATAATGATGCGATGGTGAAAATAAAGTATTATTATTATTCTAATGGTCAAAATGCAGAAACCTCAGCAAAGCATAGGCCACTCAAAATGAATACATTTTTGTATTTAATTTAATTTGAAAGTTAATTGACATAAAATAGTTTTTTTTTAAATAAATTAAAAAATGTTACAAAGAAATTAGAAAATATCCTACAATATGATCTACTTCCTGGCACAGGCCTACTCTAATTTCTCAGAGAATTTTAGGGCAAGGAAAAGTCCACCCCAATTGTAACAAACTTCATATCTTTAGAAAAATGATTTTACTAACTACACATGCATATTTTTCCTCTTGATGTTTTTTCCTTTATCATCAAGCATATTGTAAATCAGCACTTAAAATGCAATCAATAGTGTCATTTGTAAAATTTGAAAGTAAGCACCTATTATGACTACTACTAATATTTATCCTTTAAGCTAATGATTTTTAAAATTAATGTACATTTATATAATTACAAGCTGTAACACCCTTTTTCACTACCTCAGGGTTTGAATTTCTCAAAATCCGTCTTAGTGGGTGTCTATTTAGAGAAAGAAGTATACATGGCTACACTTTAAGTCAATTGTGCATATAGTTTTGGAGATCTCATGATAAGTGAGTCAGTGGTATCTATAATAGTGAATACTTAATAATTAATGTCTTTTATTAAGCTCCATTATAAAATAGAGACAATATAATTTTGGATTTTACATAAGATTAATACTGTTCAACTACATAACAAATAACAAGTGTAAATAAACAACAATTTTTAAAATAAATAAATAATTAAGTTTTTACATATTAGTTAGATGTTTAGCTGTTAATATATTTACGAGTTTAAAACATTCTTACTTCAATTAAATACAAGTTACCTTCTCATCTTCATTTATAAACGTATACTAGTCATTTCAACACACAAAATTAGGTATTCCCATCGGATCATGATGGTAATGTACAAAAATAGAATGCCCAAAAATGAAACTTCAAGAAAAAGACTCGATATTACAATTTCATGAGTGGGAGAGAGAAACAATTATATTGACAAACAGCTGATTGAATATGGGTGTACGGCGAATATTGATGATAGAAAAAACTTCATTTCAATAATACATTATTTATTGCTCAAATAATATTACTTACGACAATAATTCTACACTTTTTTGAGGATCTCTGACATTAATATTACTCTTTGATGTTAAGAGGTTTTCGGGTTTCTGTTTTGGATGTCTATGAAATTGTAAATCACTAAAAGTCGTATCAAAAGACTCGCAATTATCATTTAAATTAACACTTAAACTAAAATCTTCCACTAAAAAATTATTACTACGTACGAGGTTATCGGAGGAACCACTGTCACCGAGCCATGCGGCCATGTTTGTTTCAATTGGATGAGAGAGAAAGAAGGAATCTATCTGTCTGCTTTGCTAATGTCATCTGTCAATGTCAATCGGTAAATGTCAAAACCGGTATTAGAAATAAATGGTTCAGTGTCCTGTTATAATAGATGGCGCTAATTTCAAATATTTCTCGGAGAGAGCGACCTATACGGAAGTAAAGTAAGGCGCGTGTACTGAAGAGCTGAGGTGAGGACTCCCGGCCGAAATGCCGTTATAATGAACATCAGCACCACTTGTCTGCGCGGGCAGCGCGCTGACTGCACGCTGATCTTATTTTTAACGCGAATGTGTCATCTTATAGTACGAGCAAAATCTCGCATTTAACTAGTGAACACCAAAAAATAATAATCATTTATAGTGCAACTAATGACTAATAATTTTTAAAAAATGTGTTCAATTAGTATAACTTATTGCGTTTATTTGGTAAGTAATGATATTCTTTTTTTATAATATTTAAACTACATATATACGTAAAATAATAAAAAATATTATTATAAAAATGTGGTTTTACATTAATTTACTTCATTCTTTTGACAAAAATTATTAATATTTCTTTCAAGTTTTCTGTTTAGTTAAGATTGTGATTGTTTCTTTTTTACATATTATGGTATTAAAAATTAACGACGTTATCTTTAAACAGTTTCAAACATTATAATTTAAGTGTAGTTTATGTTTAACCAACAATTTCTAATATTTGTATTATTTTTTTAAGTTAAAATGTAATTTTTTATATTTTGGACATCACCATAAATACTAATGAAAATGTACTAAATGCCTACCTCAGCTAAAAACTTACCAAAAATTATTTTGACATTTTGTAATGTTCAAAAAAAGAAAGAACATAATGATAGTTAATTATTTTCAAGATGTACACCTAATTCGCTTTATTTAAACAATTTCGCTGGCTGAAAATCAACATTTATCAAGTCCAATTTAATCATCAGTAATTTAGCGTTAAGATCTCTAACGCTGCATGGTTGACTGACTCATTGCCTATGCATTTGGAGCAAACCGTTCAGGGAGATAGGAAAAAAGTAGGAATGAAACTGTGGGTGAAGTTATCATCACTGTACTGTTAGGTACGTACGAGCGGTCTTCACTGTCTAAAAGCATTAACGTGTCATTAGTTGAAGGTTGCTGACCGAGATCATGTTTCATATTCAAGGCACCTAGACCACCTATTTAGCTAAAGTAAATTGCGGTATTTTACTTCTAATAATTGTAACTGAAATTATGAAATATACTCCTACATAGAGTTTAAAATAAGAAGATGTTAGTGTTTTGTTGTGGAACATGGAATAAAAGGTGCGGTTACAACATTTCCCTTCTGATGACGACTGTTGAAAAATATATATTATTTTCTACTAATCAAATTTCATTTAGTGTTTGAAATTTAGTACATCTCTGTTTTTAAACCAGTAAATTTTAAATTTACTTATGAAACAGGAAAAAAACGGTACCACGACTGACTGAAAGACGTCGCACAGCCTAAAGCCTAAACCGGTAAATCTAGAAGTGTGAAATTTGGCGAAATGACACTGGGTGGCAATGTTTATATGGAGAAACAATAACTAATAATTTTTAGAGGTTCGTGGCCGTATTGCGAATGCAATCTTTATTTTGCTACTCGATCTAATAAGCGATCTATATGTATCTAGTATATCAAAACAAAGCAATTTGGCTAAAGTGTGTGGGATAAAATAATGTGGCAAAGAAAGGCATGGAGGCTTTAAATTGGATCCTGCAATACATTTGCGGGAAAAAGTGGTTGGAGATTTTCGTCAAAATTTACCCGTGGTACCTGAAGGACACCGTGGCGAGTTGACGAAATTAAAGTCTGTCTGGAACGATAAACGTTGTGGCCCACAGTAGAAATACTGAAGGTCGTAAAAATTATACGAGCATCTTGAGGGTGATAGATATATCCGCTGCCGATATTTTAGGGCTGTATTTAAAATAGGAAACGGTAATGATTCATCAAAAGACTGTATGATGATTATCCCAGGCGAGCTGTGCATATTAGTGACTACCGTCCCAGAATTAATAGTGTCGTATTAATCGTATTCACCCCGGAATTGAATAAATACAGGAAAGTACATGGAATGGTTTTGTGAACAAAGCTAACTTTATCAATAATATGTTGCTCAAGTAAAGTTTGACGACGAAGAAACAGACATATCAATAGACACGGTCAATACGCATTACAGGATTAGACCATGAAGTTATCCGGATTGTTATCTGAATTCACTCAATCAAGCGGGTTTTTAAAACCTTCGAATTATTCTGAAAAAAAAGGCACATCGATAATGCTTCCGCAGAACCTCAGCCACCAAAACTGTAATGACACTCGGTTACAAAATACAAGTTAAACTACTTGATAAAAATTAAAAAAAAAACATTATTTTTAAACAGATTTGCTTAAAGTAAGACCGTATTTGCGTTGCGGTTTCCTCACCTTTTGATTTTTTAGATTCTGTTGTAATAACTTAGCTTACGTACAATGTGAATATTTAAAAAATAGATGGCTTAGGTTACTTTTACTTAATTACAATATAAAGTTCTCAAATGTGAAATTAATTTTACATTATGTATAAGAACATATTATGCATTTAGTTACAATTACAACTGAAGTTCCCAGATCAATCACACTGTGAGGAGTGTGATCGATCCGAGAACTTCACCCTGTACAGTTTGAATAATAATTTTATATCATCAAAATGTGGCTTACCTAAAATTATTTTACAATCTGCGAAGTCTTTTAAAGTGTGATGGCACTTATCAATACGAAATACTTCATTGTGGACACACTTCATCAAGGCATCCATTAGGTCCTCGGGAACACTGTATTAATTGCAGTTCAGTGACTGGACCTTATTCATGAGAAATGCAAACTCTTGGTTGGAATGTGTCCAGTATGAAACCTTATTATCTTCTAGCTTATGGTTATCAATCCATATTTTAGCTGGTTGTGGTTGTACCGTCTTGTATGACCCCTAACGAATACCCTATTCGTTAGGGGTCATACAAGACGTATAAATCGAAATACTTCTTCCACAGTAACATTGTTTTTTTACTCGACAAATACAATCAGTGTAATGGGATAAATGTGCAGTATTCGATGCCATTCGTAGTAGCCTGTCTAACCAAGATATCTACTCATTATATTCCACACCACAATGAGATGAAATCTACTGCAAATTTGAATCTCTTTAACGTATTTTTCATGTTAGAGGTTAAAATTCCCCATGAAATATGTTTCGACAAGACAAGACCATAATTAAATCACAAGCTCAAACTTTAAAATCAGCTTTGCCAGAGATTGTTTCCCCTGCGGCTAATTTTCTGCTGACTTCCAAAAAGGAGACCGTACTCAATTCGACTGTATGTTTTTTTATGTGTGTTACCTCATAGCTTTTTACTGTGTGAACCGATTTCGATGATTCTTTATTTATTTGAAAGCTTAGCTAAGCTTCTCGTGTGGTCCCATATGAATTTGATCAAGCTCAGACCAATAGTTTTTGAGTTGTTGTTTTTAATAACTTATTTTGAAGTCGGCTGTACAAAATGTTTAATTTTAAATTATATGTTTATTTCTCGCTGTGTGATCGCATTATAGTCTGGATACATAAACAAAAAACGTAGTTTATTAGGAAATTTTTACACTTAAAAATATTATTAATATAAGTACCTACCCTGAAGATACAGCAACATAACCCTATTCCAATCAAAATAATTATAGAATAGAATAGAATAGAATAAATTTTTTATTCATTGTAGATTACAATTAATTCTTATTGATGAAAGAGTGAAACTTGTTAAATTGAGTAATCCAGGCTTTCGCTGATAAACCTACACGTAGCTTTTAGTGCCTTTGTAAGTGCTACCCGGAATTCGAGCATCAAAATGTCACTTGAGACGTGTTGTACATACAATGGAGACTCAGTGGCCGAAAGCACTTTCGCTTCCTCTTTCTCTTTACTATTTGCACGTGTATCAGTTTTTAAACCGTTATGCTTAAACAGAAAATTTTACGATCATAAATGATTAAAAATATAGCTCTAGTTTTTATTTAATATATTTTCGAGTTAAGTTGAGTTATAGAGTTAACTCTGTTGTTGGAGAGTTACTCCGTTGTTGCTAACATCACTGACAAAAGTTTTGTTCAAAAATATTGCGAGGAAACCAGAAAGATAAACAGTGCCTAAAAAATAAAATGTACTTCGAAGAAGAGATATGGTGAATATCTTTAACCGGAAATAATTTTCCTGAAACCAGATAATTTTATAGGAGAGGGGTTAAACGAGCAAGCTAGTTAGTTATCTGAAGAAAAGTATCAACGGGTAATTGCAGATGCATCGCCAGCCTTTTAAAAAGGAGTAAGCCGGTTTCTCGAAGGTCCTTAAGTGGTATCGGTCCCGAAAATTCGCCGGTGGTAAACGATTCCACAAAGAAGTCGTGCGAGGAAGAAAAATCTGGTGGCGGACTGCCAAGCATGCGGATGGTATGGTTGGTATCGTGAATTTTATCGCGATGTGTGTGTCAAACCTATGTCTTCTGAAGGTTCAAAGACACGCGACTTCTTAATCTTAATCACCGCTTCCTCCGCTTGTCTATCCTGACACGAATAGGTATACTGTCCATATCTTTGGACATTTAGGGACTAGGACACACATACGCAAGGCGATTACGTTTGACCTCATGCAAACTAACACAAGTTAAGGCGTCCTTTTGACAAGTTTGTTTTGGTACTCGATGACTTGTTTCCGAGAAAAATATTGTAGTACGCCTGGTGTAAAAAGCATCACCGGCGCTGTCATCCACATAGCAATGAACGTTACTGGCTTGATATGGAGAAGAAACAGCGTGGGTGATTGCACGCTAGCCTTGTGGAATACCAGGAGGACTATTCCTCGGCTTGTAGTTGGAGCATGAACTGTCTACTACGACCTTGATAACCAGTTTTTCGATCTAATTGCACAACATCGCGGGAAGCTCATAGGAAGGAAGCTTTGAAAGAAGCTCTTTGTGCTAAACCCCATCGAAGGTCTTTGCTAGATCCAAAGTCATGCAAAAATGCGCCATTGACTATTTTACATAAAAAAATAAACTGCAAAGTAATCAACAACCTGAAACGCAACAAAAAGATCCATGTGAGGTTTTTCTTTAAAGTTTAGTTCCGCACATGGCACCCAGTCTCAGCAACAACAATCGAACTTTCAAAGGGGGAACCTGAGGCTACTAGAAAATATACTATATACCAGCTGAACAAATTCTACGTGATCGTCCTATACAAAGATCATTCAAGGTTTCCCTATATCAATAGGTGATTCGTTTGCAAAGAGCAACCTAAGTTTCTCAATCTCCAAATGAGATTAATTTGCAGTGATCATCCGAGGATACCCAATCTCGAAACGTGATTCATT